AATAATCGTAAAAATATCATACTTTCGTCCTGAATATCGAGAAAACACTTCATACAGTGATTATTGGACCTTTAAAGAGTATTCTTAGGAAGTTTTGAACAGCTGAATCCAAGTTTGAGCAATTTTCGTCGTAGTAGCACTTTAAGGAATCATATCTCCATGTATATCAGAAACCCAGTTTATAATTATTTACTGCTAGCAGGGTTCATGCCGAGGTAACCACTTAAAATTCAAGGACTATTCAAGGAGTATACAAGGACCCAAAAATGAATTTTCAAGGAGTATGTTCAGCTAGATATGCCAAGGTTTTACACGGTGGTTGCACATGGCTGACTTCCAATCTTTCTGACTAGATCTATTTCAGAACCATGCAAGTAATGATCAAAGCAAAAATTCAAGGAGTTTTCAAGGAGTTTCACTAAAATCATAAAATTCAAGAGCTTTTCAAGTGCCCTTGAAAATGTGAATTAAATTCAAGGAGTTTTCAAGGAGTTTAAGAAGTAGCACRAACCCTGTTCTAGGAATCTGGCCCAGGAACATGGAACACCACTTTCATGTCTTTCTTTGGTTTCCTGTTGCATTGGCAAGAGTTACCCTGTAATAATCATCTCCTATTAAAAAATCTGGATCTGCGCGGGTTATAAGACGTCTTTTTTTTTCTTTACCTTTGCCATTTGATGCACATCAGGTCTTAGAGCACACGTCAAACTCAAAAGGCTTGTCACATGACTTTTGAGCTCAGGGGGGACACCACCTAACCCCGGTAAACTCTCTCTAGACATCTAGTAATAAAAGAAGTGCTGTTAGTAGTCAAATATTTTTAGTCAGAGATATAGGTATTTTCTGGTACTACATGTACACAATATACCCTCCTCAGACCCTCCCCACCCCTTGGAAATTTCAATCCCCTCCATGGGGGAGGTATGGGTATTTTCTGGAACTACACGATATACCCTCCTCAGACCCTCCCCACCCCATGGAAATTCCAATCCCCCTCCATGGGGGAGGTATGGATATTTTCTGGTACTACACAATATACCTTCCTCACACCCTCACCACCCCTTGGAAATTCCAGTCCCCCTCCATGGTGGAGGTATAGATATTTTATGGAACTACACAATGTACCTTCCTCAGACCCTCCCCACACCTTGGAAATATCAATCCCCCTCCATGGGGGAGGTATGGATATTTTCTAGAACTATACAATGTGTACCTTCCTCACACCCTCCCCACCCCTTGGAAATTCCAATCCCCCTCCATGAGGGAGGTATGGATACTTTCTGGTACTTACTACAAAATATACCCTCCCCAGACCCTCCCAACCCCTTGAAAATCCCAATTCCCCTCTGTGGGGGAGGTATGGATATTTTCTGGTACTACACAATTTACCTTCCTCAGACCCTTCCCACCCCTTGGAAATTCCAATCCCCCTCTGTGGGGGAGGTATGGGTATTTCCTGGTACTACACAATATACACCCCCCCCCCCCCC